ACAGAGAGAAAGGTATTCCATCTGCTGGTTCACTCCCCAAATGGCCACAACAGCAGGAGCTGGGCCAATCTAAAACCAGGAGCTTCTTCCAGGTCTCCCATGTGGGTACAGGGGCCCAAGCACTTGGATCAGCTTCTACTGCTCTCCTATGCCAAAGCAGACAGATGGATGGAAAAAAAGAGCAACCTGGAACACGAACTGGCCTCCATACAGGAAGCCGGCACCTCAAGCAGAGGCTTAACCTACCTCAACACAGGACTGGCACCTTAAAAAAACTTTCGATTGGATTTTTATGTTTAAGAGTAGCCAAGGGGCCAGGGCTGTGGAATAGTAGGCTAAGTCTTCACCTGCTGCACCCGCATCCCATATGGCCTCCAGTTCTTATCCCCTCTGCTCCTCTTCCTATCCAGCTCTCTGCTGGGAAAGCAGTGGAAGATGGCCCGAGTGCTTGAGTCCTCTTGCCCACATCGGAAACCTGGAAGAAGCTCCCGGCTCCTGGCTTCGAAGTGACTCAGTTGTAGCCATTGCGGATGGAAGATATCTCACTCTGTCTCTCCCTCTGTCTGTTGGTAACTCTACCTCTCAAATAAATAAATAAATCCTTTAAAAGAAAAAATTTTTTAAAACCTCTTGAAGGCCGGCACCGCGGCTCACTAGGCTAATCCTCTGCCTTGCGGCACTGGCTCACCGGGTTCTAGTCCCGGTCGGGGCACCGGATTCTGTCCCGGTTGCCCCTCTTCCAGGCCAGCTCTCTGCTGTGGCCAGGGAGTGCAGTGGAGGATGGCCCAAGTACTTGGGCCCTGCACCCCATGGGAGACCAGGAGAAGCACCTGGCTCCTGCCATCGGATCAGCGCAGTGCGCCAGCCGCGGCGGCCATTGGAGGGTGAACAAACGGCAAAGGAAGACCTTTCTCTCTGGCTCTCTCTCTCTCACTGTCCACTCTGCCTGTCAAAAAATAAAAATAAAATAAAATAAAACCTCTTAAAGAAAGGGCTACGTGCTTTGTATTTTTATTTTCAAGGTCTAGAATGTTTAGTAACTATTTGTTGAAGAAATGGACCAACATTGGAAATAGAATTGATTATTGAAGTCTAGACTCCTCCCACTTTAAATGATATTATGAAATTTATCCTTAAATGGGAAGAGTTCCAGTCACTTTTAAAGTCTCTATTAAATATGTAAAATTAATCTTAAAATGTAGTAAAACAAACAGTGGAGGTCCAAGAAGCCAGTTTGCTGTGCAGGTTAGTCATCTGTGAGTCTGATTTTTACTTGTACAATGTAAATTTTAGAATCACACAGGCTTCCTTTGATGACAGAAAACTAGATCTTCCTAGCTGGTTTTCCATTCAGTTGCTGAACGGCTCACCTACACAGCTACCAAAAATAAATAGAAAAATAAGCCCTTCATTCCGCAGAGATTAACTCCCAAAGGAGAACATAGCACGTATTCCTTTATCATAGCAACTCCTGAAAGCCCAGCAGGAGGGCTGACGCTTGGTGAGTTGTGCACAGTTCTCAAAGGTTCTTTATGCGAAGTCTATGCAAAACAGAGCATCTCCTCACAGGACATGCTAAGAGGCAAAATAATCATAGGGGGCCACAAAACACTCCTGCCAGATTTCTAGCTATTCTAACGTTTCTACCAGTGATGCAAGACCTAGAAATTGTTAAGTATGGGGCCTGCACCGTGGCTCACTAGGTTAATCCTCCGCGTGTGGTGCCTGCAGCCCATATGGGCGCTGGGTTCTAGTCCTGGTTGCTCCTCTTCCAGTCCAGCTCTCTGCTGGGGCCCGGGAGGGCAGTGGAGGATGGCCCAAGTGCTTGGGCCCCTGCACCTGCGTTGGAGACCAGGAGGAAGCACCTGGCTCCTGGCTTCGGATCAGCGCAGCGCCAGCCGTAGCGGCCATTTGGGGGTGAACCAATGGAAGGAAGATCTTTCTCTCTCTCTCTCTCTCACTGTCTATAACTCTACCTGTCAAATAAAAAAAATTTAAAAATAAAAAAAAAATAAAATAATGTATGACTTTCTAGATCCCACATAAGGAGAAACAGTGGTGGCAAAAAACTTCTGTACAGTAATCTCTAGCAAGAGCTAAGAACTTAATCCTCACATTTTCTAGCCAAATATCTTCATTTGAATGTACATATCTTATGATTAAAGTTTTCTATTTTTTTAACTTCTTGGAAATTAGGAAAATCTATTGTAGCATATTTCTTCTAAAGTACTTTGTCTTCAAAACTAATTTTAATTCAATTGATTTAAATGATACAATCTAGAGTATAAAATTTCAGTAAGATACAAACATTTTCACTTTGAAGTTTTGTTTACTTTTTTGCTTTCAATTCTAATATATAAATAACATTTCTTGAAATGCAACTGTAAAAAGGACCCATTCTACCCACTCAAGTTCCTCAGGAGTCCCACAGTGACTAACAAGCCTGATTCTAGAATCAAATCCAGCCTCTGCCATTCAACAGTCAAATGATTCAGATAGGTCAGGTAACCTCACTGGCCCTCAGTTTACTGATCTGTAAAATGGGACTAACAATTGTACAGAGCTGAGATTATAAAAATTACTGAAGGCACACAAAAGCTTGGTAAATAGTACCTGCGGCCCACGTAACCCCTACTCTCAAGGAGGGTGTTCAAAAAGATCATGGAAAATGCACAATAGCTAACAAGTGCATTTCAAAATCACTAAAATAAAGTTACCTTTTAATTGCATTTTCCCACGAACTTTTTGAAGTATACACATATTTAAAACATAAATGACTTAACTCTATCTAATACATAGCCAGGGTAACTGAACGTTACCAGTAGTCTCCATTACCAGGACAAACTTTGTAGCTTGCGTATACCTAAGTTTTACTTTTTTTCCTCTGGCTCACTGTCTTGTAATGATGAATACTTAGTAGTCCAATGACCTAAGCTGGCAAGTCTAAATGGTTATATCAGAAGTATCAGTCGGAAGTAACTATATTTAACCCAGTATTCTGAGAAAGAGGAACCAGAAACTGCAACCTGGAACATTACAGTATGTGCCCAATAAAAGGTAAGTACCTTCAAAAGGAAAAAGCACGTTCAGAGTGGCTGAGAAGATGATCTTACTGTTATTAAGGTACCACTTTTGAAAACTAAAAGGCCTAAAAAAGTGAGCATTTGAAACAAAAGGAGTAAAACTCAGGTAGGACACTGCCTTTTTCACTACTTTCATCTTAAAGTATGAAGTTACTTTTCAAACCTAAAAGCTTTAAATTTTACTTTTCAAAGATTAATATAAATGAAAACCCAGTATAAAAACACATCTGGAAATATTTCATTCATTGTTATTCCATTCCATTTAGCCCCATAGTATTAAAACAATCTGTTCAACAGGAGTTGGTTTTCAAACAAACAGGCTACCGTGTTTTAAACTCTAATATGCATCATGATTAACTTTTTGGAACAAATTTCTTCATCAGCGCTGCCCAATAAAACGTTTAACAAAACTGTCCCATAATACTTTAAGTGGAACTGTTGTCTATTCCTCTTCCCAATATAGCATCTACTAACACCATGGGGCTACCCAGTATTTGAAATGTGTTTACCGTCCACAGGGAGTTAATTTTTTAATTTAATTTAAAATAATTTAAGTGTAAATGGTTCTGTGAGGCCAGGGGCTGCCACAGACTTTCTGCTCATTTACATCAACACAGGTTCGATAACTTACAAACCGACTGGTTGAACTCTAGAAGAATCCCTCAAGTCAAAAACACGGGTTTGCAAGGCCTGCTGCCTGTTCTCGTTGGCTGCTTTCCAAGGGGACGGCACTGAGGGGCACGGGGGCCTGGGGCCGAAGTCATGGAAGTTTCTACGGTCATCATACCTGAAGTAAGGGCTGATCGCCGCAAGGACGTTCCTATGACAGGAAAATGTTTTCCCGTGATCCACTTCCACTATAATGTCTGTCAACTGTCCTTCATCGTACATGGTTTTGAGTTGCTTAAGAATACTGCACGCATGGAAGGGGTCCATGGCATCGCTGGCTGTGTCTGAAGACGGAATCCCATTCGGTGTAGGGGAAGGCTTACTTAAATCTAGGAGAGAAATCATACAACCAAAAGAAGTTCGAGCCAATGACGGCGTCGGCGTGTGCTGCCTTGGCTGCTTGCGCCCCCTCCTACAAAAATTCGCCCACGGATACACACTCCCCGCCGCAGGAGACCGCGAGGGAGGGATCTGGGAGCCAGAGCGCAGCCAGCGAGCCGCCCAGCGGAGTTCAAAGGCCCGCCGGCTCCTGCCGGAGCCCGGCGAGCCCGCAGCCCCGTGCTCGCGGAGGGAACGCGCCGGCGGCAGCAGAAGCAGCAGCAGCGGCGAGGCGCCTGCGGCGACGCCGCCGACAGCCGGCGGCAGGAGCCTCACGAGCGAATTTCGAAGGATGGCGGCCGCCGGTCCCCCCCCCCCTCCCCCGGCCGCCTCCCGAACAGGTCGGAGCAACGGCGGGTACCCAGCCTCCCCATCCCGGTCCGCTCGGACCGCCCACTGCCCACCACGCCATTCATCCTCCCCTCCCGAGAGCCCCCGCCACTTCTCCATCCTCCTCTCCGGCTCCTCGTTGTTACCACCTCAACTCATACCTTGTGCCTAGCTTCGGCTCGCCTCCCCCCCATAAACACCCTCTTCACACCGCGCTAGCCACACGCGACCCACCTGCCGACGCGGCCATTTCTCGATGGGGCCCTGGCTCTAGCTATTTAAAGAGGAAATGTCATTTCGCTTCTCGGGCTCCCGGGTTCCGGCTCTTCTAAGCTTCGCCTAGCCAATGGGGTGGCCTAAGCCTCAGGCTCCGCCCCCCAGTCTACTAATTCCTGGCGTGGATTGGCCACGTTGCGGAAGCTTGCACGTCGGGAAATGTAGTTTTATTGCCCTCGCTCCCGCGTGGTGCGGGTCGGGCGGAGGCCCAAGCCGAGGATTTCTATTGGCTGGTTCGGGCGGAGGTGGGGAGCTGGGAGCCCGCCAGCCTGTGGCCATGGGACGCGCAGTGTCTGCCGGGAGAGGTAGTCTTCTGACTGGGGAGAGCTGTCATTCTGTGGGGCTGAGGTAGGGAAAGATTTTCGAGTGCGAATTTTCCCATTTTAGGCCTATCTCCTGCCTTTCCTCCCCCCGCCCCCTTTTAAGCCTTTATCTTCATTCATTAAACTTCCGCCGAGGACAGGTTTCCGCTTTAGAGGCGAGCTCTACGTGAGGGCTGTGAAACCAGAAAAATGTGGAAATGGGCAGGAGGGCTGTGGTCCAAAAATGCGAAGGAAATCTGACACCCCACCCTGAAGAAAAACATCCGGCGGCCCGAAGGCAGGCCGCCTGGAAGGGGTCACCTGTGACACCCAGCTGAAATAGTGTCGCCTTGGCCCTGTGCTCCGTGACCAGATTAGCCTGGTGTGGCTACAAGGGCTGCTCACGACCTTGATTTAACGCGTGCCTGGCTTCTTGTGCACTCCGGGCATCACCTGTTCCACTTTTAGGAGCACCTAAACACGATAGAGGGATTACAGGAGGTCTTCCTGGTCTTGCTCCCGGGGCCATGGTGAGGTTAGGATACTAAGCCGCCTGGAATTTCCTTGGAAGAAATATTGGAGACCATGCTGAGCCTGGACCCGGGGACCCTCACTGATACCCTGGCTCTTTATTTACTCCTTGTGCGACCTTAGATAAGACTCTTTAACTCTTGAGCACTTAAATCCTTTATCTGTGACGTGTGTATCGTAATCTATATTGGACCGTACACTACAAGTTTTGAGAAAGAAAGCAGAAATTCTTTTGTGGGCATGTTTTGGTTTATTCAAATGTTGTGTGTTTCTGGCATCTCACAGGGTGCTTGGCACATTATAGATGCTTAATGTTTTTCAAGATAAGTGTCAGGTACAAAGGAGCTAACTGTGGGAATGCTAAACCTTGGAGGTGTAAGGAAGTCTTATCAGGGAATGGGATGGGCTTAATAGAGATAGAGTTAGTGCAGGTGCATGACTTTCTAACAATGAAAAGATCAAACAGTTGAACCTCTTGATAAACGATCTTGGAATTTAAGTTGTGGTTTGAGATAAAGAGAGAAAATGTTGAAAAACAATTCAGTCTGTTACCTGAGTATGAGAAAATTAGAGTTCAAAGAAATACAAACCCATGCAAATTAACAAAAAGCTCATTGGTTCCCTGAGACGGGTTTATGGACATCCGTATGAGTTAGTATTTCCTGCACAATTCTGCATAGAAAAAAAAATTGATTTAAATTTTGTTATTCAGAACCTTAAAGTTCCATTTTTTATGAGCTTAATTTATTAAAATAGGGCTGTTTTTGTTCACAACACCTTTGATGGTATAAAGAAAATAATGGCATCAACCCTTAGGGTTGTCAGATTTAGCAAATAAATACACAGAGTATGAATTACTTGGGGCATATTTAAATTAAAATATCAATTATTGGTTATATGGATTTCAAATTTAATTCAGTGTTCTGTATTTTATCTGGCAACCTTTGCAAACCTACTTAAATGGGGGGGAGTTTTGTTAGCCGTAAAATCTGGAAATTTTCTCCCACAATAATCATACTCAGTATTACATTTGCGTTTACTATTATTGGGGAGAAAAAAGTAAAATAATAGCAACAGAAGGTAGAATAACAATGTAGGAAGAATCTAGGTGAAGCATACATGAAAGTTCATTTCATTATTATTTCAACTGTCCTGTTCATATAAATACCTTTCAAACTTAAGTTGGACTAAAATAACAAAAGCATAAGAGAACAATAAAAATTAGTAAGAGAGACTATAGAAAAGACAAAATAGATACGGATATATATATGAGAATATTGCCAGTTTAACCCTGGATATATTCTAGAATTATAAAATATAACATTCTTACTAGAAAGTTTAACAAATATTATGAATAACAACCATACATTTATTTTCCTGTAATTAATAAATCTATAACTTTTAATTATGTGGTAAGATTAAAATTCAGAACAATTTGAAAAATTGGCCAATATTCTTTTTCCATAATTCTTACCTAATTAACCATCAGATTTGACAGTATACTTTGATTAATTAAAATAAAGATTTCTGATTCTTGTACCCACAAAGAGTTCTAAGTCTGGGAGTAGGTCAGAATACAAAGAACAAAAGCCAATTTAAATAGAAATAGAAAGAAATGAAGATTTATAATGACAAGATTGTCATTTATTTAACACTCAGTAGACTCCATTTTACTGTGCAGCTGGTGTGATACAGTAAACATACCATCATCATTAAAATGTATCTTTAAATATAGAGTAATTGGGAAGATTTTTAAATTGAACCAATAGTCCCACAAATATTCCTTCTCAATGATCTTTAAGAATACAAAGGAGGTTCTGTTTTAGAGTTGATACTAAATAGCCAGAGGCTACAGCTTTGTTTTCAAATAGCTCTAATTTGAAATTTAATAAGATCAAATTAAATCTACTGCCAATCTGGAAAGGCAACAGCAAAAGTAAATCAGTTTTGTTCTCAATGCTCTAAGCACTGTCTTGTACTCTGAAGCAACTTTCTCATATATTCACAGTTTAAAGTAAAAATCTAAGGATAAAAATTGAAAAAACAAACCAGAATATTTGAAAAAACTATACTTAGTTCAAATTAGGCATTTGAGCTTTATTCTTTTAATATTTATTATGGAGTGCCAAAAGCAAAGAAAATTGCTATAATTACAGTTGCTTAACATTTAAATTCTTTAATTCTATAATTATGATTGCTTTACATTTAAATTCTCACAAAGCTGATGGATTATGAAAGCAGTACATTTGGAAAATGAAAAAATTGCACAGGAGTCTTGTTTCGTTCTGCTTCCACTTTAAGAGAATGACTTTCAGCAATTATCAGCTGTGCCCAAGCTGCTGTCAATAATAATACCACACAGTACAAAAATGATAGCACTCTAATAAAGAAGGTGTAAAAGAAAATAGAGCTTCACTTCTGCAAATCGATTCTGCAGTTTTCCAATTTCCCTGCTCAGTACTGATGGAGGCTGTGAAATTGACCAGAGAGATATTAAATGAAAGTAGAGAGAGAGAGTATTTGAGACTCTTACTTTTTAACAAATGACATTCATATTATATTTATGCTTCTCAGCCTACAGCTCCAACCTGCTTGATACCTTCAATGTGACATTTTTTCCTCACTTTAGACTTTTGTGTTAGTGTCTGGAATGAAGTAACAAAAGCATTACTTCAATATAAATTTAGTAAAAGACACTGAAAGTATTTTAACTTCTAAAACGTTCTGCATTGTGTATGATTTGGTTTCTTTTAAATGCAGAACTCTAAATAGATAATAATGTGAAGTTTACTGATTGGACATTCCTGGACTTTGTTGCATTTTTTTATTCCCTTCCAAGTGATGTGAGGATTCAACATGGTAATAACTATAAAATTTCATTTTGGGAATCATTAAATTTGATCATACAGAGAGATGCTGTGAACACACTATTTGGTCTTTTAGGTACATGTGAAAAAGAAAAGAGATTGTGAACCTAGTTTTAGGAACATTGAGTTCTTAAAAAATATTTCTTGCCTACCTCCAGCCTGCATTCTGGGCAGTCACTATATGAAGCAATGTTCATTATACCAAAAAGGATAGAAAGATAGATAGATACATACATACATACATACATACATATGAGATTCCTAACTTACAGAGCTATATAAATTAATCTATAGAAATGAAACATATTCATATAAAAATAAATGGGAGCTCAAGGAGACTCTAGTTAACATAAAGTAAATGTTTCATGCAATGTTAAGGATTTCAGAAGAGAGAAGAGATTCTGTTTATTGGTGTGGGATTTAACCTGGTCATCAAAGGAAGATACACCATTGAAATATTTGCAAAAACAGTGGACTTCTTTCTTAACTATTTGCTTTATCTCAGCTTTACCTAGAAGGTAAAGCATTAATTCCTCGATACTTTAATATCTGTAAGACTTAATTCAGGAATTAAACATGGAAAGAGAATTAGTGTTTATGTGTTATCTACTTTATTTTGCTTAATTTCATGTTCTAATTACATTTTATAAGAGCAATCTTATATATGAAGAGATGGAGGACTGCAGAATTTCAAGTTGCCCATAGTCTTATGTTTGTCTTTGGCTGCAAAGCCAACTCTCTTTTGATTACAATATATAAAGGTCCCTGGGAATAAAACAGAGTTTTGAAAATAAGGTATTGTAGGATTTTCTCCCCATTAGATCAATTAATACCTGTCATGAACGGGCAGTATTATTGCTATTGGTTTGAGATACTTTTATGCCCTAAGAAATGGGAAAACAAGGAAAGGCTATAGGGTATGACTCATGCCATTAAAATATTTTACTTTGTAGCATTAACCACTAATATCTATTAAGTTGACTATGCTTCACTATTCTGCAAACTGAATTATTGTATAAGACATTGAAGAAAATTACTCAACTGGAACCTTAGTTAAAAAAAAATCAAATTTAGAATGCTTGTTAAATCTAAAGCCTTTGTCAAAACATGACACTAACACTCTTCTGTTTGAGGATTGGCTTAAAATTCAATGGAACTAATGGAATCAAGCCATTATTGTTGGTCTTTCTTACCCTAGTCATAATTAAAGCTCATGGAATCACTAAAAAACCTAAATGCATGGAAAATCAGTAGGCAGCAGTCATCAGAGTGCAGAAACAAGAAGGGAAATTTATAGAGAATAAGTATCAGGTATTTGGGAAGGAGTATCTCAAATGCAATTGAAAGAAAACAGAGGATAAGTAGATTATACTTTAATTCTCAAAATAATCAAATATTATAAGGCAAATCTATTGATGTACCACAGTAATTTTAAGCATATGTGATTTTTTTGCTTGTCCTACAGGGTTTTGTTATGCTTTTTATTCTCAGAAATGTTTACAATTTTGACCAGATAATTCCTTGTTGTGTATGGAGAAGGGAGGGGACTGCCCTGTGTTTTGTCAGATGCTTAGGAGGATGCTTGACCCACTAGATGCCAGTAGCACTTGACCCCAGAAGTGAAATTAAACACATCCCCAGACATTAT